TTTTTTTGAAAACCGAAATCTTGCGGAGCCTACCAACTTTCGGTAGGCATATTCAGAGGTTGCCATATTCTCAGAAACTGCATTTCGTTCTTTCTGAAAATCGCATCTTCAGTCTATTTCGCAAAAAAAAAATTCAAAGATCGCATTTTAGTGAAAGCCGAGACTTTGCGGAACCTAGCCTAGATCTCGTTCATAATACTCTTCTGACATGTCTCACTCATAATAGATCGACAGATATACAGAAAAAAAAAAGAAAACAAAGGAAGTAGTTCTCTTTTATTTTTTATTTTTTTAGTTTTATCTGTTGATTAGGGCCGAGGGCAAGTATTGTTGGGGTGTTTTCCTACCTACGTTTTCCCCCCCACCCACCCCTCTGCATGCATTTCCGGGTTGGTACAGTGACACGTCAGCAGTGCCACGTCAGACACAGTGCCACATAAGCAGTGCCACGTCAGACACAGTGCCACATCAGCAGTGCCATGTCAGACAGTGCCACATCAGCAGTGCCACGTCAGACAGTGCCACGTCAGCAGTGCCACGTCAACAGTGCCACGTCAGCCAGCAGTGCCCCGCCACCATGACGGGCGCAGATCTGGGCATGCCAGGCCAACTGGCCAACGAGTCCATTACCGACTACAAAAAGCGTTTCCAGGCTCAGCTCGCTGCAATCGAGGCTGAGGAACAACGCCAGCTGGCAGTCAAGGCTGCCCAGCTACAGGCTGAAGAAGAGGCAACAGCAGAGAAGCTGCGGCTACAGGCCGAAGCAGACGCAGATGCCCAGGCTCGCCGCAAGGAAGCCCAGGATCTGCTGCAGCGGCATGAAGCCAGCAACATCGACAGACTCAAGTTCTGGCACTTTGAACCGAACGGCGACGAACCAACACCGGAAGAGAAGCATAAGGAGTTCATGGCCAAGCTCGTGACCAGGTTAGTTTATACTTGTAACCACCTACAGTCCGAGCTGGCGAACCTCCAGCGGGCCGTGCGGAACCATAAGACTCAGCACGAGGATGCCACACGGGCACTGGATGCCCGTGTACTGGACCTGGAACAGGCTGTACCAGGACCAGATGCTGGGGCTTCGAGCAGTGCATCCTCTAGCCGCCAACTGGAGGAATGCGTTGACCACGTAGTGGCAATGCTAGGAGACATAAGTGCCTTCACAAAGCCGGCCACCATCAGCCAGCGGTTCGAGTTGCTGGACACTAAGATCAGTCAGCAACAGCCGACCGACCACAGCCACAACAACAGCTCGGCAAGGCCATACAAGATGCCGACGTTCCGGATCGAGAAATTTGATGACTACACAAATCAAGACCCGGTCGTCTGGTGGCAAGGATTTACAACGGAGTTGGGGATCCACGAGGTCCCTAACCATCTGTTCATCAGTGCTCTGTTCATCAACACCAAGGGAAGATGTCAGATCTGGCTCAGCCACATGGCAACCATCCACGGCGTCCAGGTTTCAGACCTGCATAAGAAGGTCTCCTGGGAGGATATGACAAAGGAATGGAAGAAGCGGTTCATAGTGGATGACGCGCCTGCGCTCACCATCAACCGCATCTTCGCGATGGCTCAAGGGAGCACACCGACACGTGACTGGCTCACGGATTGGCAGAAGATCGTGGCCACGCCCGATCTGGACCTGCCATTTCCGCATCTGCGCCGTGAGTTCTACAACAGGTCGTGTGCCGCTCTGAGCCTCGCACTTGGTGATCGCGAGCAGTACCACACTTTCGCAGAGATCATCAACAAGGCGAGAGAGATCATCAAGACCAACAGGTCAGCTGCACACGAGAAATCAACATGGCAGCCGACCTATGTGGAGAAGGCACGAACTGGTCCGCGACAGCAGCACTTCGCTGCAGTCCAGCAGGACAGTGGAGATAACCCAGCAGCCACTCCAGCATCAAGTGACGGAGATCAGGTGGTTGTTGTCCAGCCGCGAAGCAACAACAAGTCCCGCAACAATGGGAAGGCGAAATCCGCTTCGCAGGCCGGAAATGGACAGCCAGTACAAGTTCCATGCGTCAAGTTTAGCTTGACCGAGGCGGAGTACAAAGTCCGCGGCCGCTACGGCAGCTGCTATTGGTGCAACAGCACCAAGCACAAGACCTCCCTGTGCCAGGATCAGGGCAAGGAGGATGTGCGACCCCGCCTCAGCTCGGGAAACTGAGYTCYSCGGAAGGTGAGGCGACTCCACCTTCCACTCCGCCAGATTCGGCCGCCTTGCTAGCAGCCTCCTGCACATCTGGGGAGGACGCGAATGTCACAAGTTCTCGTTACTCTTACRAGGACTATGCTGTCTACTTGGTTCCACCGCTGGACCAGCCGCTCCACGTGCAACAGTCCACCGCATGCACGGTTTCATCACCATCGGCAACCGATTCGACACCTTCGCCGCAATCTATCGCCGGGGATTCGACGTCATGGTCAAAACTTGATGAGCTCGACCCGTTGACGTTCACGGACTTCCAATGGATGCCTGTTCCCTCGACCGGACGATTGCCGAAACCGCATTGCAATGTGCTCATGGCACAACTGAGGGACTACTTGCACACTGCAGTACCAGCTCCGTTGATGGACGGCGGAGTAGAGGTTGTCAACCTTCACGAGTACATCGTGAAGATTGACCGCGAGTTCAAGACGCAAC